TATCAAGGAAATCATGATAGGAAACACAAGCCCTGGAATATCGTATCAACTGGGAGATATTTACTACGTATGTAGGCGCGGCTGGAATGTTGCTACATAGAAATGGAAAGTTCACAATCAGGAAGTTGAAATCATCTCTTTTGTCGTAAAACGTCCATCCAGATTACAAAAAGTCATACAGAAACAATTTCCAACGCATGGACTTAATCAACATTTCTTGTGTATTTTAGAAAAGACGCCATCATATTAACCATCGAGATGATCTCCGAAGAATCCGTTGATCATATAACCTGCTGTAATCATAAATATAAATATAAATAAACAGGCAAGCACGTGCAATCGATTTTTCTAGGTCTGTTTTATTTCATGTCATACATTCAAAATAATATGTAAATCATCGTTTTACCTGTATTTGAATGATTTTTTTGGGGTAGAATAAATCACTTTTCAATGTTGACATTCTTTTCTTTTTTTGTAACTAATCATGCTAAGCACATGCGTAACCCAATCCCAGTTTAAGTTCTAATTAAAGTTCATTTGCATACGGTTTAAATGAGTTGAATTATAACATGTATAAGCCAATAATACATTGTCAATATTTTGGAGCTTATTTCGACAAAATTGAACCAAACAGACTGCTAATAGCAAAATATCATTTCACAATTTTGCTTTGATAAATATTTGAAAAAAATGATACATTGATTTATTGTCAACTTCGTAGCAATGCCCCCTTTAAAGAGTTTTGGTCAATTCAAATGGCAATGAATTAGACCGCTAATGCCTCTTTTATTATTACTGTTCCTGTGTATGGCACGCACGATTCATTTTTATTCAATGGTAAAGATATCTTTTATTCTCTTTAAGATATAATTTATTTTTCAAAAGTTTATAAGATATCTTATATAATTTACAAGGTATCTCATATATTTAAAAATATATCTAATGAAGAAAAGTTTTTAATAACATTAACGGTATCAAGTGTACTGCAACATGTGAATTTCGACAAGTATCGTCTCTTCCGTAATGCTCGGGCCAACATATTTGAAAACCATAACCTTATACAAATGTTGAGGAGCTGATGAAATAAAAAACTTCTTAAAGTATAGCCAAATCCGGACAAGGAATAACAGCTTTGCATGAGAGAGATATATCTAAATTGATTTCTAAAAGTGTATAAAATATGTTAAATATCTTATAAACTTCGATGTATAATATAGTATGTACAAATTTAAATTGAAAACAACGCTCAAAGCTATGATTTCGTTGGATAAAAACCGCAATTTTTATACGTGTGCATTCAAAACAAATTTCTTGGTAGAGTGGTCTAAATACAGCACATACAACATTTTCCAAAAGACCAAAAAAGTGAAAAAGTATATTTTAACAAAACGCATTTGACTAGCAGGTCGAACAACGGATGTTCTTAAACCCTGCTGACTGCCATGGCGATTGCCAAATAAACGGATCACCAGATGTAAAAATGGATCTTAATTTATTAATTGAATACCAAACAGAAAACAATAAACTTGTTGAAAAGATGGTATACCGCAAACATGAGGTGCAAAAATTTGTACACCATATCCGGATTTCGACAATTAATGTCTCTTCAGTGATGTTAGGAATCGAAACGGTATTTGGAAGGCCATATAATTTACCTCAATTTGGGATTGACTCTTGAATTTTGAAGAGTCAAAATAGGATGAACGGATCATATAAACCCGAAGGCAAATATAATATATATATATATATATATATATATATATATATATGATATAGTATGTATATATACCTGGTTAAATTTGAACAACAATAAGGGCCACTATGCCTAACATTAACTAAATTCAATTCAAAATAGAACTGTTCAATAACACTTACATAGATTTTTTATTTTTTTAAATAATCAGGTCTCTCATTATATCGCGATTCGAGAATTTTACCCAAAGAACTAACTCTAAATAAATCTAATATACAGTAGTACTTGCACTTTTTTAGTTTTGGGGTATTTCAGTTTCACATGAAAAACTCAATATAAACATTTTCGATTTTTTTTTTAAACGGGACTATGGATTTAATGATTGATTTTTCGGTATCCGGGAAAGAATGCTTAATTTTTTTCGGGAATTCAGGATTTAGGATTTGTTTTACCGAGAAATCGAGATGACATTTCTGGAAAAAAATTCAGAACATGAAATTAGCATGAAATAGTAAAGGGTTAGATTTGATCAAATAAATAATATATTTTGGGTCTTTATAGGAAGACATGTCATCCCATTGAGACACATTATTATTACTCCGGGCCAACCAGTCCTTTCGGTACTGCTAACTGCTGCGTGCTACGAGTAGAAGCAGCAAATACATACTCTAAAGTCTTTGGATTGACCTAGTCGGGGATCAAATCCACGACCTCCCGGAACTCAAGACGATCACGTTATCACGAGACCACAGAGGCGATTGACAATAAAGAAAACTGAATTTTAAGTGAAATAAAAGAAGATGATGAGTCATTTGATTTTTATTCAGCACTTGCATATAATTAAAATTAAGACGGACGATCTTTTTGTACTCTGATATAATTGCAAAAAAAAATATGCAAACTCGAGAGAAAGAAACCCTGGTCAGCATACTAAACTTAACTAATCGATTCACGCCAAATATCACGATCCTTACTATACCTACTGTGATATATTTCACTATTCAGAATTTTTGTTATTATAGTCGTAAACTTTCTTTATATTCTACTTCACATAAGAGGACCAAATACACAAACGTGTTTATAACGATCTTAAAATGAATTGATGTATATAGTGTACGTTCGCATTGATTTCTGCCATCCGGGTTCCCTGACCTTAATGATTTGACCCTGAAGAGGTCAGCACACACTTAGCTTTGGGCGATAACTTTGTAGAGTTTTACTTTTATTCGATCGCGATAACAATATCCTTATTGACCTACATATCATCTTATTGTTAAGAAATTGATGGAAATACAAGACTTAAAAAGTCCTTAACGTGACGGTACCAAAATTGCACCTATTTTGGCAGTTTTTTCACCTACGTTTATTTATGATCCAGACAAAAGTTTCCGTTCTGTGTTTATTTTGTAGATTTATCCTTTTTTTCTATATAGTCACACCAGTTTAAATTTGAATTCATATTGAATCATAGAAAAAAGGGTTTGAACCGACCTCCAAACGATTCATGATTCTGTAATGAGGAGTACCTAAATTGCATCCATGATTAAATTCACATCCTTAAAAATCGAATGACAGATGTTTTGTTTTATTTCTTCAAATATTTAGAACAATTTGACATTGGTCCTTGTTTAGTTTTCATCTTTAAGTAATGGATGCTTGTAAGATATTTTATTTGCTCATTTTTAAAAGATAAATTTTTGTGGACGTCGCATTACATAAACATCAAAAACTATATACTCCGGAGTCGTAAATCGGTAATATGAAAATGGCCTACTCTCCAAATAAATAAAAGATCTTTGGAATAACATAAGGCTAAACAGAATAAAAATATACATTTCATAAAACTCAGCATAGGTATATTACTTATTCATTTGTTAATTTTTTATGATCGTTGTGACGGTGACCAGTGTCTATTCACATGCTTGATATATAGAGAATAATACATAGTAAAATCCGTATCACATGCTGTATCAGCCCGAGTAACCAATAACAGACAGAGGGACGATATTTTATCATGTTTTAATCACTTTATTATATATTTAAACAGAGGACTTTATTTTTCTGAATTAAAGTCTCCTTCCAAATATTAAATTATATTTTGTTTCACTTTTTGGACAAACAGAACATAAATATTCTGGCCCTAATCTACTTAGTAAATGAAAATAAGTAATCTGTTCGCCTTGAAGTTGGAAATTAATATTTTGACAATATCAAATTTGCTAGCCTCCTCCCTTAGAATTAAATGGTTGTCCACTAAATGATTTCATATTACAAAACATTTGCTTTGACTGACCCCAAAAAATACATAAAATTGCCAAATCGAAAACATGTATTTAATTCTAAGAAACCCTACATCAGTATAAGGCATTTGGCCATACAATTAGCTGTAAATAATAAGGTCTGGAAGCTCAACAGTGGAATATAGAAAAGCAGCTTTATTAAGTGACGATTTGTCTAAGTGCTGATTTGTCTTGATACCGAACTGTCTTTTTTTGAGTGCCGAAATGTTTTTCACGGATGCCGAATTGTCCTGGCGCCGATTTGTCTCGGTGCCAAAGTGTCTAGAATTCGTCCATGTTGTGCCGCAGTCCGTGGACAGAAGAAATGAAAGGGAAAACCCCATTGTTCTCACTCTGAGATGACCAGTCTTTATTCCTTGTTTTAAATAATACAAACACATTCAGAAAAACGAAGTTCGATATGAACAAATTCCAGGCATGGTTGAAGTAAATTCTGTTTTTCTCCCATTTCCACCGTTTGCGGAATGCGGATTAAACCTCTTGTTGTCGCTCATTAATGTGGTTACATTCATATCATGCAAGGAAATAAAGCAACTGGTCGTCATATGTCCAACTTTGAGGCGATTCGATATATGACGTCACGCCTTGATGACGTTATATTGGAGACCTATTGAGGAAAAACACTCTTTATTCTTTGTTGTTTTATTTGAAAGAGATGCGGTAATGAACAAGTGCTTGCATAAATTAAATATATTGGCACATGTGTCCCTCCGGTAGAAAGAAGGTAAACATGTCCGACATTGTCGTCTTCTGAAATCTCAAGCGGTTAATAACTGAGGAGTTTTGAAAACAGTCTCGTTATGTTCCGAAAGGGGTGCGATAAATGCGATACGGGGTATGCGATACAGGGTTGATGATACAGACTGGAGAAAAGAACCTTTATAAAGTATACAAAATTTCTGTATTTAGTACTAAATATATGATAAACATTTTTATTGGCAATCATACCACATCTCCTTACTTTTACCTAAGCTTTTAAATAACGGTATTAATATTTATACAGAGCGATGGACGATGAGCAAATGCCAGCAACTATTTGTGATGTTCCGACACCAAGTTTCTTAGTAGACCTTGACAAAACTAAGAATAATGCTAAGAAGATGATAGATACTTGTGAGAGACTTGAAGTTCAGTTAAGACCACACATGAAGACGCATAAAACTGTGCTTGTATTATTTACTAGTGAATAGCTCCGGAAACAAAATACAAAAACAAACTTAAATTCAGAGTACCCATTTGACAAATATCTATAGGCGTTTGTTAATACTAAGATAGTATAAATAAGACCTATATTAAAAATTAGACCTAAATACAGTAAAAGCTAGTTCTGTAATTTTTATTTCAAGAACAGATTTATTACATACTTGAATCGTTTATTACTCGAAGGCGAATATATTCTCTGTGTAAATTGTCCTTGTTGATCGACGCAGAAGCACTTGATGTATTATGGTAATGGTAAGGGTTTCGAGATAGAAAATCGGTGGAGTCATGAGAAAAAAACATCTAATGAAATGACTTCCGAGCGATCAGCACGTTTTAAAATGTTCAAATGTTCTTGGATATAAATTGTATTCAAAGAAAATTTTTCTGCGTTTTATCGTAACAAAACTAGTAGTCCCTTGGCTATAATTATTCAATTACAATGGTCTTGAAAAATTCATTATTTACCTCAGTGACAGTGAACATAGGGCTTTAGTAATATTACCTAAAAGTGAAGTGACCGCTGTTGTGAACAGGAACTACATGTCCTGGGAATGCAGCCTAAAATTGTGAATTTGATCCTCATCCCATGATGCATTTGGGACGTTCAAACACAAAACATGATTACTAACATTTCGAAATAAAATTTTTAAAAAATGGGAAAAGATAAAAAAAAAATGCTTTTAGCGTAACAAATTTTATATGTCTTTCAGAGATCTTGGTACCTTAATGACCAACGGAACAAATACAACCATAGAAGTATCAACTTTAAATGAAACCGAATTCTATGCTAAGAATGGATTTGATGATATTCTATATGCATAGCTGCTCGCATTGAAAGGTAAGTCAGTAAAAAGGCAAGCAGATTCTTGTACAAAAAAGGTTTTTGGTCTTTTTTCGGTTTCTGTAGTATTAGTCCTGTACTTATCAAAGAAATCAAGAAATTATCATTATACTTTGAAATAACTGATAGTACATTTTTCTCTAGGTGTAAAAACCTAGCCTACAAATTAGAATCGTTCCATGTAATGATAGAAAATTCTCATGGATTGGAAGTTTTGTTGAAGAGCTCGTTGGCGGATGGAAGAAAATGGTCCGTATCTCTTGAAGTTGATGACGGATCTGGAAGAAGTATGTTTCGTATTAGGTATTAGCCATATTATAGAAACAATACTTTGGAATACGAAACAGAAAACGAGTCCATATATCGAAGAAAATTAAAACAATTATAGGAAAGGACATTACTTCTGCGATAATTTGTTAGTAGCAAGGTAAAGTAAGTCTAATACTAACTATTGAAACTGACCACAATTAACTTGTATACTAAATATATGTTTTGAAAATATTCGCGTCCGAATTTGAGTTTAAAAAAGAAATAACATATGCATTAGTCCTACTCAAGAAATATGCGGTTTTACGGAGTAACTTAGAAATAAAGAAATATGTAACCTGACGTTTATTCGACGATGACCATCTCGTGTTACATGGGATTCGATACCAACACACTGCCAGAATATTCAATTAAACACTAAATTACAAAAAATTACGTTCATTTTTATTTCTTATGTTTCTCCTTATCTAGTACGATTTTAGTGGCTTTCCTAAAGACATGAGATGAAAGTAAATGTTTCTGAGACGAATTTCTCATGATTATTTATCATTTTTTATTTTAGCCGGTGTACCGTGGGACAGCGATGACGTAACCAGCCTTGCAACAATGGCTACTCAGTCTCCTAATATAGACTTCAAAGGGTTGTATCTGTACATTGCCAACACGTATAAAGCTAATTGTAAAAAAGAAATAGAAGACGCTAATAATGAAGGAACAGATTTACTGAAAACTCTGTATAAAAAGGCAGAAATAAGTTATCACCGTGTGTAACCTATGAATAAATCTAATCGGATCACTCGATAGTAAAGCTGAAAGAAGTCATATTATACAGTTATGATACATATAAGAATATAATATTAAAACCAGTTCTTTACATAAGCTTTAACATACATTTTGGTGGTGCAAATACATTGATGAACAGACACACAAAGGCCCTGAAATTGCGTTTTCTCCTGACTAAAGTTCTAAACCTATGATTATTGTTTTAGATGTACAACAGTCTACCATTGGTAGTTGTTGCAGAGATGAGATTGCCTGTCGTCTTACAACACGAGTAATTAGTCATAAACCGAGCATTAATATCTTCTTGATAGATTGTGGATTTTTGGCTCTTAGTTATGATGGAATGGCAGATAACCCGGATGAATTTTCTTCTTTCCAAGACAACCCTGATTTAAGGTAACCTTTTCAAATCTTATTGGTACAATGGTGCGAATTTTGAAATTTCCAATTTATAAAATAGGAAATATATCACTAGCATCTTTGGTAGTTACTAGAAAATTAATTTGGTTTATGAATGGCTGAAAAGATACCTCCTGAAAACCGTAAAATGCATTTTTCAGAATTTCGGTGAAAGTGATCAGATTTAAATTGTAAAAACTATTGTACTAGTATAAGAACATGATCCAACTGAAATATAATCCACAATAATACATGCCATTTTTTACAAAATATAAAATGGATAAAAAAAAATATAAAATATTATAGCTGTAGGAAACTGCGGTTTTCTTGCAAACATAAATTTAAACTAATCAGATCGGCTGGTTAGTTCCCAGTGTCTAATCTATTTTAAAGCTACTACAGAAACACTATGTTATGCACTATCCGCTCTCCTGGTTCCAAAGCATGTGAATGATAAGCATCTGAACTGTTGCTCAGATAAGTAGCCAAAGATATAGTAGAAAGCCAGAGAGAGCCGATCTGCGAAACTATTAGCATAAGCCTATGTCTGAGCTTTCTAGCCAGAACAAAATGGCAAGACTTATGCTAAAGTTAGGATGTAAGTGATCACTGAATACCCCATAAATTTGTGATTTGAGTGAAAACTCGAAATGACCCCAAAACCAGATGTGGAATAGTTTGATAAAGCCGAAGAAACAGCTGGACCCCAAATTGAAGGGAGTATGAAATATAAGATTATGATGATTATAAAATTAAAGTTGCTTGCACTTCCGATGAATAGTGTTAATAGTAACCAAAACAACAAGAATAGCATTATTAGATGTACTTGACTGTGAAAAGCAAATGTTATCAATATAAGTCAATGGTTTCAGATTCATAATATATCAGTTATCAATCAACTAGTAAGAATATGTATCCAAATTTCGAAATGCAACTGACTTATGATTATTATTAGTCAGACACGAAGTGTAGTTTAAAATACATGTAAATGTGATATAAGGATACGATCATACTACGCTATCATGCTGCTGATTAAAATCTCATAGGGAATAAGTACACCACATTTAATCGAGTAACATATTTTTACCTATGGGTTGTTAGGCTCCCAATAATGAATATCAGCAAACTAAGAGCAGAGGGGTTTATTGTGCCCCGTCAAAAACACATTGCAAACATGTGGATTATTATACACAAGTAGAACTAAGTAACACACTGCTACAAAGGATGTTGTTATGTTCCAATCACTGCAGATGTTGTTATGCTCCAATCACTGCAATCGACGGGGATTATTATGCCCCTGTAAATCTAAATTCCAATAAAAGACATTGTAGTCCTATTTGACAAGAAACACTAATTCTAAACAAGGGACTACTGTTCCCCTGTTAAATTAAGGCAAATTATATTTTCCATGAACAACTCGTACAAAGATAACTGTTGAATAGTGACACTAGACTAATTCGATATCAACGCTAGCTGGGCTTGTTTAATCGTGGTTTCGGAGTATGAATGTATCTGGTATAGCAGTCGGAACTCCAACGACCTAAAATCTTGATCAGGTGATCTTCAATTTGTTTATGCAACTGATGTTGCCGCTCCTATTCGGAAGCTGTGTCCGTTGTAATTAGATGGGTTGAGTCTGATAATTTCCAGGATGGATCGAAAATGATTGATGAAGAACTTACGTGTTAAAGCCACTCCATTTTCCACGACAAACCTAAGCAGTTTTGAAGAACAACAGCTACTGAACAAACACTGTACTCCGGATTGAAGATACATATATCTTAAACCACAAATGTACATTTTTATTGTAGAACATTTTATTTGAAGGTTTTCGTAACAATGTGTAGCGTAGTGAATTAAGATATCTTCCGTTAGAGGTGGCAAATCTGTTTCATCATCCCACTTAAAACCGGATAAGCATAAAACGTTTTTGTATGATTTGAAGCCATGCTCGTATTCCGAACGCGTACTGCTTGCGATTGAGTTGTGAATTAAATGTTTAACTTTTGCATTTAATTCCACATTACTTGCCAAGATTTCGGACACGGAGTAGGTTCTTTCTCTGCTGATGGTGCTGCCTTCTGGAAGGTCTGAAAATCAAAGCAAGATAAAGAGTCAGCCAATACATTTTTAATTCCGTGGATATGTTGACAGACATTGAATATTGAAATTTTGTTTAACGGATAGCCAAGTTAATGTTCTCCTTAATTTCATAATGTCTAGCACTTAAGATCTTTCTTTATTAACTATGTTAACGACGGATTCGTTGTCACAGTGGAACATGATACGTTTCTTGTTCCATAAGTACCCCCATAAGAAAGATGCAACAACAATAGGGTACAGTTCTCTAAAAGCCATAGACATTTCTGAATTGAGTGAAGTTGATAGTTCAGAAGGCCAAGTACTACTAAACCATTTACCTTGGAAAAAACTCCGAATCCGAAGTTAGAAGCCGCATCTGTATACAATTCTATGTCACTAGCTAAAGTTATGTTCTTATTCGTCTATTCAAACAAACATAAAATATTTATAAATAAAAACCAAACACTATTTGGGATATCAGCTTGCCTGGACAGTACAGTTAAGCAACTGTATTCATTTTATTTACGATGCACCAATGTTTGTCTGCACGTCCTTAGCCGCTGCTTCAACATAACATTAACCAATACACAATCTACAAAAGAAACATTTTTTGTTAACAATCTTTTGAAGCAAAAAAAAACGTCCACTTCAACCATAAGTATGAATAAATCAATTTACAACATTGATGAAATATAAGTGGGTGGGTGGGTGGGTGGGCTCAGAAATGACCAGACTGGACTGTCCGAAGGCAAGCGTCGAATGACACATAATTAAACATAGATTTACCGTTACAATTCTTCCAGCTTATTTTGGCACGTGAAATACTCAGTAATTCAGAGTAGACCTTATATCTAGTCATGTGACAAATGTCAAAACAAATACACGTGTTCATTATAACATTTATAAATGCATTTATATTCTTGTTCGTCTACTCAAACAAACATAAAATATTTATAAATAAAAACCATACACTATTTGGGATATCAGCTCGCCTGGACTGTACAGTTAAGCATCGAATGAAAACAAAGAAAGGGAACAGATACTAGCTATATTACAGCAATTAAATATATTTATAAGACAGTCTTATATACCCAATTTTTTAGATACTGACAATATGTTATCCATACTTTCTTTTATATAACCATCCTTAGCATTTTCGCTCTTCCACCGCTCGTGCTTTTTAAATAGACGATCTTCAACTCCTGCTGCTGCTGCAGCGGTTGCTCCACCTGAGCGTAAACTGTGTAGACCAAACTGTTTTTTTTATCTAAACCGATGATTCAAATGCATTTAACAATACTTCTCTAGCTCTAGAGTATGAAAGTGGTGAATTTTTCCTTAATTTATAAGTATCACTTTTACTACAATAACTTAAAGACCTGAATACAAATTCGTCAGAATTTTCTATTATTTTAGCTAACTTCATATAACGATCTAACATAGCCACTGGACAAGTATTATTTCCAGTTTTAGAAATAACTACATCACGGCCTTCCCTGTAAACATCAGTTTTGCTCTGTTCTAAATACAGTTTAACATGAGTAGAAAAAAAGGTTATATTAGATCTTTTCAAATTAGCTAATTCAGAAAATCGTAAAAATCCTGCATAACTCAATAAGCACATGCATGCAGTGCGTACATCTTTTTTTACAGTTTTGACCATATATATGAACAAATTTGAATAAAATGTTAGCTGTAATAGGTTCCTTTTTAATAATTTTGTGTCCAATTTTTCTGTATGACCCTTCACGAACAGATGTAACCAAGTCAGACTTGCAAGGGTTCGGAAAACCGGCTAGCTTGTGTGCCCAAGAAATCGCATATACAGACTAATCTATTTTACTTGTAGAGTTGAATGTTTCTGATATATGAACTAAGTATAATGCAATATGTACAGTAGAAGCTGGTAATGAAGAAATGCAATGTAATTTTGACCACTTACACCAAGAGTTGAATCCATATTTGTACTTCTTTCTAGTGCTGTCCGCCCTCGACGATAGAACATAATCTGGAAGTTTTTGTACAAGATGATTAGGCATACTAGGATGAATATCGCTGGACAATGATTGCCATATCCCGACGTAGCGTCTAACATAACCGCCAAGACTGGTGTTATGAATTGTTCTTGAGAAAATATAGAATGTGGGTTCGACCCTCTTACAAAGATACTTTCTGTATCTATAAATTCAATGACATCTGAAACATGTACCTGGTACTCTTAAGTTTTTATTGAAAATCTTAGTCCAATAGGCTGCTGATTTCCATTTAGGAACAATCAAGGTGCCTCTAGCTTGACAGTAAATCAAGAGTGTAATACATCGAATAACAGAATAAACAGGTGATACTAACCAGTTATTCTCATTTGACCAATCTTGTGTGAAAGCATCTACAGCTATTGTGCATGGGTTCCAAAATAGAGAATTATATCTACACACTTTTGCATTCTGAGAATTACCAAACCTATCTATTGTGTAAGGACCCCATAAATGATTCATAAATTGAAAAAAAAACTCATTTGATACACCTCAATCCTCGTAATCAACCATTCTACTGATGTAATCAGCTTGAGAGTTTTGTGATCTAGGAATCCATTGAATGTCAATGGAAATACATCTCTGAACACAGACCGAAAATATCGACAAAGCTATCATTTGTAGTTTTTCATTCATACTACTAGCTTTTACAATTTTCACACAGTTCTGATTATCTGTGTACCATTTAAGCGTTTTACCTTCAAAATCAATTTTGAAAGATATCAAGGCTAGTTCTATAGCTTTCAACTCCCTCCATGTTGAACTTTCTTGTGCTTCAGAAAGGTCCCATGTTTCATGAACAATTTTCTTGTCAAGTTCTAGTGAATATGCACCTGCCCCTATACCACTGGCGTCAGAGTAAATTACAACATGTGATTTTGA